TTCAAAAATAGGAAACCTATAGGAGAGGTTGGTTGTTGTGAATCACCAATGGCAGAGCGAAGCCACTGATGGACCGAAAGGTGATTGATGTCTCCTACCTATCTATCTACCTATGTATCTATCGATCTATCTATCTACCTATCTTTCTATCTATCTATCTAACTATCTATCTATCTATCTATCTCTCTCCCTCTCTCTCTTTCATCTGTCTATCGGTCTAGCTGTCTACCTGCCTATCTGTCTATCTATCTATCTATCTATCTCTCTCTCTCTCGCATTCATCTGTCTATCTGTCTAGCTGTCTACCTGTCTACCTGTCTACCTATCTATCTATCTGTCTGTCTACCTGTCTATCTGTGGTGCAGTGTCATTCAGTGCAATGTAGTGTAGTGTAATGTAGTGTAGTGTATGTAGTGTAATGTAGTGTAGTGTAATTTAGTGTAGTGGAGTGCAGTCGAAGGTGGTGTAGTGTAGTGTAATTTAGTGTAGTGGAGTGTAGTGGAGTGTAATTGTGTAGTTGTAGTTGTATTTGTAGTGTAGTGGAGTGTAGTGTAGAGTAATGTAGTGAAGTGTAGTGGAAGGTAGTGTAGTGTAGCGTAATGTAGTGTAGCGGAGTGTAGTGTAATGTAGTGTAGTGTAGTGTAATTTAGTGTAGTGTAATTTAGTGTAATGGAGTGTAGTTGTGTAGTGGTAGTTGTAGTGTTGTGGAGTGTACTGTAGTGTAGTGGAGTGTAGTGTATGTAGTGTAGTGTAGTGGAGTGTAGTGGAGTGTAGTGGAGTGTAGTTGTGTAGTTGTGTAGTTGTAGTTGTATTTGTAGTGTAGTGGAGTGTAGTGTAGTGTAATGTAGTGAAGTGTAGTGGAAGGTAGCGTAGTGTAGTGTAGTGTAATGTAGTCTAGTGTAATGTAGTGTAGTGTAGTGGAGTGTAGTGGAGTGTAGTTGTGTAGTTGTAGTTGTAGTGTAGTGTATGTAGTGAAGTGTAGTGGAAGGTAGTGTAGTGTACTGTAGTGTGATGTAGTGTAGTGTAATGTAGTGTAGTGTAGTGTAATTTAGTGTAGTGGAGTGTAGCGGGGTGTAATTTAGTGTAGTGGAGTGTAGTTGTGTAGTTGTAGTTGAGTTGTAGCGTAGTGTAGTTTAATGTAGTGTAGTGTAGTGGAGTGTAATGTAGTGTAGTGTAGTGAAGCGACGCGAAGCGACATCTGAACCTCCAAAAGTGGTCCGAACCCCTAGTGTTTTTAACATTTTGACTTCGAAATGTGCTTCGCGCCACAACGGTGTGCACTTTTTCGAGATCTGAACTTCCAAAAGTGGTCCGAGAATGGTGTGTCTTGTACATTTTGACTTCCAAATGTGCTTCGCGCCACAACGGCGTGCACTTTTTCGACATCTCAACTTCCAAAACTGCTCCGAACCCCTCAGTTTTTAACACATTTTACTTCCAAATCTGCTTCGCGCCACAACGCCGTGCACTTTTTCAACATCTCAACTTCCAAAAGTGGTCCGATCCTGAGGTGTTTTGTACCTTTTCACTTCGAAATCGGCTTCGCGCCACAACAGCGTGCAACTTTTCATCTCTCATCTCCCCAGATGTCTCTGTTTCGCGACTTTCCTACCTTTTCATGCATCTGCATCTTCTTTCTTCTTACTCTTTCTCTTCTACTCTTCTTTCTTCTAATCTTTCTTTTCTCTCTGCCTCTTCCCTGCTCTGCTTTTCATCTGTCCATATTGTCGGAAGTTTGACTTCTAAACTTCCTTCGATGAACCTAGCCTTGCCCTTGGTCGTCACATTCCCATAATCCAAAGTCCATTCATAACCCCTAACTCATCACTTCAACCCGAAAGTGAAATGTTCCCTGAACCACCAAGTGAACCAAATGAGCCAGATGTTCCAGATGATGATGTTTCAAATGCAGTGGAAGACCCTCCAACTGAAGCAATGGACCTGGATGCTCCGGAGCACACCGACGCACCACCTGCGCCCGAGCCCATTCTGCAGTGCTGTTTGATCACCAACGGCGAGGATGATCTGTTTGATTAGACAATGTTGCAACCTCGAAGTCAAGAACACAATATTTTACTTGCTAAAGATGGATTTCCAGTTCTCCAATCTCCCATGGAATGTCATGAGCAAAAGTGTTTTGCATTGTCCATTGACCTGATGGACTCCGATGTTCACAAATGGGCCTCCGCAGAAAAGCCAGTAGAAATGGCATGGGTAGCAAGCGTAGGGAAAAGAACGAGGGCTGAGGTTTGTGTCAAAGATCTCACATGGGATGAAAGACTGCAGTTTGAAAAGCAAAAAATGCCGAACTCAACTGTTGGATTCAGACCAGTGCCCTGAAACCAATCCTCCGACGCCAGCTGAACCCAGAGCAGATCTTGAAGAGCCGTTGGATTCTCACATGGAAGAACCTACATGAGGAAGACAGCAGTAAACCCCAGAGAAAAGCAAAAGCGAGACTTGTCGTTCTAGGCTTTCAAGATCCCAAATTGTGTGAAGTAGCCCGAGATTCACCCACGCTGAGAAGGTCGCCACACCGTGTTGCAAACCATTGCCAGTCATAGCCTCTTTTAACTTCAAGATTGCCTTCTTGAGAGGACAATCCCAGCAAGCATAACCCACTAGCCATGGAACCGCCTCCTGAACTCAGAAAGATGTTAGACCTCACTCAAGACCAAGTGTGCGCATTGGTTGTTAATGCATACGGCAGGGTTGATGCACCACTGCTTTTTTACAAAGAATTTTCCAACCGGCTCTTCAAACTGCAGTTCACTCGGCATCCACTGGCACCACGTATTTTCATGATTTTTCATGTTGGAATTGTTTGGAGCAGGTCAACGTACACTTCATGGAATTATTGGATCATATGTCGACGATGGAATCTGTGGGGGTGATCGAGGCTTTTACAAACAACGGAGTCATTGAAGCAAGAGTTTGTGTTTCCGGGAATCCAATTGGAGCAGCTCCCAGACTGCAGTATAATGGCTTCTCAAGAGGACTATGTAAAAAGCATCCCTGCGATTGACCTTGGTAAACGCCGACGTCAAACTCCAGAGGCCGCAGTCACTGAAAATCAGCTGGGTAAACTCCGGGGGGTCATCGGCAGCTTGCAATCTGCCGTGACTCACAGACGCCCTGACATGGCAGCCAAGCTGGGTCCAAGTTCAGATCTCTAAAGCCACAGTTCAAACCTTGATGTTGGCAGATAAAGTTCTCAGAGACACCCAAGAACATAGCCAGGTGAAGATTGTTTCCGGCACATTCCAGGTCATCAACTCGCTCATGTTAGTTTTGGTGACGCATCCTTCGCGAGTGCCAAGCAATTATCTTCATTCCAAGGGGCCATTTTTTTTTGCTACAAACCAAGATCTAGACAAGAACCATAAGGCACCCATCAGCCCGCTGTCTTGGATATCAAATAAAATCTCTTGAGTGGCCAGATCGACACTTCTCCATGTCAAATGGTGTTGACCGTTTAGGGTGGATGAGATTGCTCGGGGGCACCATCCATAGATCACTTTGAGTGGCGTAATCAGGTTTCCAACAGCTTCCAGTCGCAAACATCGCCACCGATTGCAAGAGCCTATATGACCTAGTCAGTAGAACAGTGATCCCATCATGCGAAGAATTCCGCACCACCTTGAAGTTTTACTTACCCGCGAGTGTTGTCAAGAGCAGTGTCATTTTCGGTGGATTCCCACCGCTCTGCAAGTGGCTGACGCATTAACAAAGCCCATGGACCCTATTCTGCTTCGACAGGTGCTATCTTCTGGATGTTTTCAATTGTACGATGAAAGCGACTTTTCATAGGAAACAAGCAGTTCGTTGGTACAAAGAGCGAAGCAACAATCCCCCTGAACGGTTTGCCAGTGTCTCATCAAAAGAAAAGTAGAGGAGTGTGAATTATCCACTTCTTGTCGACCTTGATGTGACACTTATGGCTTGATAAACCCCTGTAATGCATATAGTATAAATCAGGATTCTGGGGCCTGGGTTTTAATTTTGGAGGGTTTCTGGGTGTTAAAACTGGTTTTTGAATGGTGCAGGATACATATCAAAACGGCGTTGGCTCAGCACTATTCGTTAGTGGTGTTTTATCCAATTCTGCTCTGGTTTACATATGCGTGGTTTATTCAGGCTACCCCCGTCCAGGCCGGCACAGGTCCGCCTAAGTCTGCCCAGGTCAATCCCAACTTGCAGGTTCTCCCAGGTTCTCCCAGGTTCTCCCAGGAAATTAGTGGTTTCCTGCGATTTTGTGGGTTTCCGGGATTTCCTGGGAGAACCTGGGTGTTATTTTCTGCGATTTTGTGGGGTTTCCGGGATTTCCTGGGAGAACCTGGGTGTTATTTTCTGCGTTTTTGTGGGTTTCCGGGATTTCCTGGGAGAACCTGGGTGTTATTTTCTGCGTTTTTGTAGGGTTTCCGGGATTTCCTGGGAGAACCTGGGTGGAAACAGTTGGGGATGGGCCTGGGAGAGCTGCAAGAGTTAGTTCGGGGAAAAGTGGCTGGAGGGAGGCCCGCTATTTTGACCCGCAATTTCTAAATTTCTGCCGCAGGCGTGGCCGCCCCCTTTGGCCTGCAGGTTTGCCACGCTTTAAAGTTTAGTTATAAGCATTACAGGGGTATAGCAACTTATGGCTGATGATGTCATGTAACCACTTTCGGACGTGTTCGCGTCTCGAGCACCTGCGGAGGGAAGTGGTAGAGGTGGGCGTTGGATGCCTAACTGGTGCTGTCGCCATTGTTTCCGGGAAAACATTGGGCTGTGCTGCGGTTGGACTTGGTGAGGAACAGGGTTCCTTCAATAGCATTTGACCATTTGATTTCTGGTGTTTGGAACACTACATGTCTCTTGGGGCAATTGGGAATTGCCATCTGTTGCCAGTGGGAGATGTTCAATCCTCTCACACATACATCCATATATATATATAATAGATAGAGTACGTGGGTCGCCCATGATAACCCTCTAAAATAATATCGTTTTCCAAGCTATCGCTGGGCCTGGAGCACCGAAGGCCCAGCCCAGAATCCTCTAAGGTCTCATCGATGACCTCCGGTTGGTTGGGACGCCGGGACGTTGGGACCTTGGTGAAATAAATTGAGGATTTCAGCTACAAAAAAGTTTGTTTCTTTGCTAACGATTTAAGGAACTTGATTGAAAATGTGTGGGAGGTTTGTGATTTCATGGGAATTTAAAGAGATATGGGAGATTAGATGGATATTGATATGACTTACTAAGCAGCAAAAGTAAGCTTTGTATTTGGGTTGGGGAAGCATATCAAAATGGTATAGGTGTGCCACCATCACAATCTGCGGATTTAATGTTGGGGCCAGGGGGCCAGGGGCCATTTATGTACCCCAAAAAACTAAATTAAAACATCTTGGATTAAACCCAGCAAGGTTTCAACTCGGTGCGGCACCTGGAGGTCCCAGGTCTCGTAGCCCATGCTGTTCAACAACGCAGGCAGCTCCTTCACCTAGGCTGCGCGCGTGGTTTTTTGGGCAAATGGGGGGAGGATATTCCCTGGATTTTGGAAAGCTAGCAACTCACCAAAATGTTGTGTTTAAATGTATTCAATGGAGTTTTAACTAATTGATGGTTTTGAAACGTAGCATTTCCAACTCAACTAAAATGTCATACAAACAAAATAAGTCGAAATCACCAAGGGTATGTTCAATTCAAACATACAACGTTGACTGGCAAAAATTATGTCCATGTCCATCCCAACCTAACTTGTAGAGGAGCCCACCATGGCCATTGAGTAACCCCTCCCTCCGTTCATATCAAACACCCCGAACGAAACAATGGTAGAAAGTAGGGGAAGTACGCATTTTTGGATCCATTACGGCGGTGGTAAAAAGGGTGGGGGATGGGATTGGTCCTGATCACTCCAGTATTGCCCAAGGTGCATCTAGCTTGCCGCTTTCGTCGTGCTCCGCCGCCTGGTTCGATTATATACCCCAAGGCTAGCTGGATACACCTGCACTGTGAATCATGGCACTTCCTATCTTGAACTATGGGCGTCAAAACAAGTTCTATCGTTTTCAAGTTGGCAATGCTGGCATCTCTAAAACACACACGCACGATATCATATACACACAGCTATAGGCTATGATGTGACTGGAATTTACATGCCAACCCCGGATGAATAAACGCTGTTGATTAATTAGGGAACTTAGAACTAAAAAACAGATATAGGTTCATATTGCTATTGGTATGCCCGGGTGCAGGTTGGATCGGGGTCGTTGGATATGCCCCCTCTTAATGTTCCTATATAAAAGAAACAACTGGACTACAACCTACAATAACCTTCAAATAAATTCAAATAACATATGCAATGATTGTGCGGCGAAAGGTGGCCGTACCAACGGCTGGCCCCAGTGGAGAAAGCCACTGACCCACTAGATCCTCTACTGTAGCACGCGCTGAATTGGCAAAACTGATCTCTTCTCATTAGTTGACAATGATATCTATGTTTCCATCTTTCGACTCTATAGTCTTCACTTCAACTCCAGCAATACACAGAACAGCTCTGACTCTGTACAGCCTCATCTCCACATCAGAATCGAGCCATACCTTGCCACCTCCCCCCAGGTACAAGCGCCAGAAATGCGCCGGCACCTGCATCAGTTCTTGGACATGGTCCAGTTCAATGCCGCGAAGCAGGCGCATGCATGCCATAAACCTGGGTGGCTCTGCTCGCATTGCAAGTCAGGTAGCATACCATGAGATGCGATGGTTAGACCATGATCGGACCCAGATTAAATAAATAAATAAATATATATATAGATAGATAATCATATAATATTATATATATATAGACCATGATACCTGCAGCACCATCAAAAACGATCAAAAAACAATCCAGATTTCCATCTGCCAACGTTTTGCGCGGGCTCCTTTTCTCGCTCTTCCACAGCTTGCTTTCCCACCACGACTCGCAGGAAGGGATCATCTCAGGGATCTCAGGGTGTCTTGCAGCGTCATGCCTCATCAACTTCAGGATCTCCGTGCGTCGACTCTGGGGACATCTGGGGACATCTGGGGACTGGAGACTTCATCCCAACTGTGGTTGGACTCAGCTGGAGTCAAAGGGTAAGAATTCGCCCGTCTCCACCTGGTCGCTGGGGTTGTGTGGGAAGGGCAGCCAGGGAATCTTGTTGAAACATGAGCATCTTGACGGCAAAAACATGGAAACATTTCGAAATATCATGAAACATCAACATCTTGAAAACTAATTGCAGCATTCCCACGGGAAAATATCAAGATTTGTTGCTGCACCCAAGGCTGGGAGGTTCCCAAACAGGCTCTGCCAAGCCGAGTTGAGGAAATGAGCTCTTGAGACTTGAGACCATCTGAGTTGCGGGTAGCAAACAGGCGAAACAAGAACTTTGGCGTAGATGTAGATAGTTGAAAGATGTTGAATGGAATACTGTATTTCCTCAAATAATCAAACCAAATCAAATCAAATCAAATCAAATCAAAATCATCATCATCTCATCATCATCATCATCGTCATCATCATCATCATCGTCATCATCATCATCATCGTCGTCGTCGTCATCATCATCATCATCATCATCACCATCATCATCATCGTCATCATTCGATATTCTCATATTCTGTTTGAGACTCCAAAATACCCTGCGTCTTGTCCCGGGCCTGCTGATTCTCAGCCACTGGGCACCTCAGAAGCATCTCTTGCGCCCGTTGCACCCGCAGCTGCCAACCAGCCGAGCAGCCCGAGGCCTCTTGGGCCGAAGCCTGGCAGAGCTCAAGGCCTTCCAAAATCTCCTGCGATGTGACAGAAACATCGAATCCTGTGAAATGTTGAAATCAAGTCAAGAAATAGACCGGCAAACTCACAAATCCGTTCCGAATCCTAGACTCTTTGAACTAGTGCTTTTACTATCTTTTACTATCTTTTACTTTTGCTGCCTAAACCATGTTAAAGTTTGTTTTCCCCTGTACGGCGACGAACATGGTTGATAGCAAGGGAAACAAGGGCTAACTCAGCATTCCATCTTTCACGAAAAGAGATGGGATGCATCAGCTTCCTAATCCCTCAATCCGCCTCTGTCCCCATCATGACCTGCACTCATGGCTGCCTTCACCACCACCGCTACCAAGCATTAGTATCACTTTCTTTGTCACCGAGCCCATGTTCACTGATAGCTTTGGGTAACTGGCTCAGGACCCTATAAACCCCTTCAGGTGATCCATCAAAGCTCTAGGCCCACACATTTCAAAGATCGACCAATCTTCCAATATCTTCCAGCTACATCCTGTTGTGAATCCAAGCGTCCAAAGTACGTCGCAACAACCGAAAAACGTCACCCTCCGCCATAGCAGCTGTGGCCACGACCTCTTGCCACGACCCTCCAGAGGCCCAAGCTTTGGTTACGCGGAAGGCCTCCACCGACAGGGGCATGGCTTCATAAACACCTTGAGCGGCCACCGGGCCAGTGTGAGGGATGATGGGTATACACACACACACATATATATACATATATATATATATAAACATGCATGTAACTCTATATACATATTTAACTTTTTAAGTAATACGCGTGTACATGTATACATCCATACAGAACAATAGACAATATCAAACATACAAATGACTAAAACATGCGGGAATTAGTTCTGAAATGCGTTTAGCGATCACATTCGCACCGGACATTTCTTTTGGCTGGCTGGTGACAGTCCTTCATCTCTCGGAGGGCAGCATCAATGCGACACATTTCCGGTGTGGTGGTTCATGTGGTTCCACCCTCATTAAAAAGACAAATCAATATGGATCATCAGGATTCATCACGCAGGATCGTCTTGAGCAGCCGTGTGATTCCCTATGTAAAAGCCATGCCATACCATGATCAAAATCGAATCATTCAAGTCCTTCATGTCTAGCGGAACCTGTTGGAAGTGGCCGGAAACAGCGAGACATCAACATTGATGATCATGATAATGTCGGTCTCTGATTAGTAGCTAGGTTCGCTAGTGTGGCAATTTTTACAAATTATTCTGAAACCCATGTATTGTTTGGAGGGTTCACTTTTGTGGCAAAAAAAATGGGAGAGTTTTTTTTTTGAAAAAACAACTTGTAATTGCTGAGAGGTACTACAAGTACTGCAAGTACTACAGGTACTACAAGTACTACAAGTACTACAGGTACTACAAATACTACAAGTACTACAAGTACCACAAGTTCATCCGCCAAAAACAGTTTTAATATGTTTTAATTAGATTTCAATTGTAGCCAATTGAAATCCTTACTTAAGTGAGGATTTGTTTTTCTCTTGGGAAGAACATTTTTGACTTTCCACTTTAAAGAGAGTCCAGATATTGTTTAGAGGGGGGGGCCTCACACTAATCAGGAACCAACATTACCTATAAAATAGGATGCACAAGCAGTGTATCCATCAGGATGATCCACTTCATCTGTATCCCAAGTAGCCATCTGGCCATCTGAACACCCATTCACCAAACAATCTTAATGATTTAGTCACCAACATGCATTGCATAAATAAAAACCAGGTTGTTCCTTCACCATTCATGCTCTTTCATAAACTATTTCGATGGCCGTTCAAATAACCTTCCATGAGCAAGTCCAAGTGGTGGATATTCCCCATTAGGGAAATAGACCATCACTTTCAGCAAGCCCAACCAGGGCCCAAACACCGTCGAGTTGCCATGGCCGAGTTGAACCTCCCAAAGGTGCCAACGGTACTCCGTCAGCCACTCCAGCACCTTGGTGCTGCTTTTCCGAAACATGATTGTTCAATGTCGGCATTCCGCACCAAGCTACGAAGTTTTAATTGTGACTAATCATGGTCGTGATTCTTATTGTGATGCACACACATATATGTATATATACATACACACAGTATACCGTTTATGATATGTTATGGTTGTGATTGATGATTGTGATCGTAGTGGTGGTAGTGGTGGTAGTGTTAGTAGTGGTGGTTGTGGTGGTGGTCGTCGTTTTCGGTCGTCTTTTTGAACCTTTTTCTGGGGTGACATGTATGTATTTTGTGTTTGTGTTTTTAGGTGGAAAATGGAGGTGGAAGGATCAAATCCTCTGTTTAACTCCTTTCGTGTCTTTAGCTACTGTTTTGAGCGGAAGATGCATTCCTCTATTCATGTCAAGATAATTGTTTGAGCAAGAGTGTGTGTGTGTGTTTTAAGAGTTGCTTAGCGGTGGCCACCAAGCTGGCTGCAGTATTTGACTGGCGGGTTGGGCGTGCTGAACTGGTACAAAACCATGATTGGTGAGTAATGCATCTGTTCATATCCTTCCCTAAAGGAAAACATGTTTTATGTGTTCCTGGTTCCTGCAGGTTTAAGAGCTCTGCAATGTCAGCTGCTATCATATGGTTGAAACTGCCCTGCATCTTTGCAGGTTTTGGGTGTGGGATGCTATGGGCCAAACCTGGGGCCCAAGACACCGAGATGGTTGAGTACGCAACAAGCAATGTCAAAGCAAAAACAATGATTTTTCGCCAGGCACATATTGAATAACAGTGACACATGGATATAGTAATTTTATTACTGGCTGATGAAAAAAACGCATGGTTTGTTGAATTCCCCGCCATTAGAGAACCTGATTAAAAGGCATAGGTTGGCCTCAGAGGCATTCTTTGGAAAAAGTGGAGTGCATTGACTCAATGATACAACTGGGGACCTGACCCCCGATGAATACTCGGATTTGCGGCATAGGGGGCCATGAACAAACATGTATAGAACATATTATTGGATGCCCCAAATGGTGGATTTAACAACTGGGAGAGCAACAAGTCATCTTCAGTGAGCCCTAGGTACAATACTCCCTTCTATGGATAATATCAGTTTCCAGCTCAATCTTAAAACTCGTTCACCTTTGTTGTGTCACAACATGATCCACAAAGCTGCCCTTCACAATTTAGTTTACCTATTATATCCTTGCCATATCACCATGCTTTGGTCGATATCAAACCATTAATTTCATGTTGGTACATGTTTGTTTTTTGTTTTCTTTCGACAAAATCACACCCTTTTTGCTGGCAACAATGGTATCATTATCATAGTTAAAGAATCCAGACCTTCTGTGATTCAATCCTACATATATTGACACAACTGTCCTGTCATGCTAATATTAATCACCAAACGTCTGAATTAAATACCTTGTAATAACACTATAGGTCACTGTTAGTAGCATAATGGCATTTAGCACTTGTCAAATCCCCTGTGGGCTATCAAAATTACCATCTAGCTAGTTGCTTCCAACTGGCCCCCCCGAAAAATAGGATATAGACATTACCAACTGGCTCCATTCATCTCTCCCTCTTAACCCCTGGATAGGCAAAATGGAACAAACTCCCCACATGGTAATTGACCAATAATTCAGTGTCAAATATATAATTGTTTTGGTGCTGATATTTGACAACTTAAAACCGTTGACCCTCCGATAATCAAACATGGCTAGCTGGACAATTCCCTCTCTCTCGGTGTCTTCATGGGACATTTAATTCACTGACAATAATGTAATTATATATATATGTATATGTGTATATTGTATATCTATGTATATATATATTTATAATATAAGTTATCGCCATTTAACTATCATGTGGTTGGGAAACTCCTAGTTGCTCCAACTTTCTACCGTCTGGTTATGACTATGGTAGCGCTGTTTTTTTGTCATGTTTATCATCTAAAAATGGGTCATTTTCCATCAATCCCAGTGACATCTCGCAGCTCTGCCAGCTCTCCCTCCGCCAGCGACGCGCTCGACACATCCTCCGCATCACTGCCACGGCCGTCGCTCATGGCGGCCACCAGGGCAGCCAGGTCCCCTGGCTCTAGGCCTGGCGGTGCATGGGGAAAATGGTGCTTTCACCAACCAAAATGGGGGATCAATTAAGAGAAATGGTGATTGATAGATATTAGATATTTATAGTGGATGTATGGTAGCTGAGTAGGTCTACAACAAACAAAACTGTTGGGTTTTTGCTAGATATATATATATATATTTATATATATATACATATACATAAAAGAACTAATTGACTGGGGTTATAAACCGACAAACATCAGTGGGGGCACCACTTTGCACAAGTTCTGAATGAAAGAAAATTGTGAAGGGACATCTCCCGAGCCCTGCTACAATGCCAATGATTTCCTTCGAATATGCAAAGCGGAATCCAGGGTCACCCACATATCAAGAATACACACACACACATATATATATGTATATATGCATATATAGTCATATAATGTTATATAACTGTATGTATATTAAATGATTATATATGATTATATATGTGTGTGTTTGTATGTTATATCATGTTATATGATCATATTACATTATGTTGTTATATGTTATTATTATGTTTAATACCAGTAGTACCGCACAAGGCGGTGGCGGAAGTTTCAAAAATAGGAAACCTATAGGAGAGGTTGGTTGTTGTGAATCAGGCATGGCAGAGCGAAGCCACTGATGGACCGAAAGGTGCTTGAGGTCTCCTCTCTTTCGCTCTCTTTCTCTGACTATCTACCTACCTACCTACCTACCTATCTATCTATCTATGGATCTATCTATCTATGGATCTATCTATCTATCTATCTATCTATCTCTCTCTCTCTCTCTTTCATCTGTCTATCTGTCTAGCTGTCTACCTGTCTATCTATCTATCTATCTGTCTGTCTGTCTGTCTATCTGTCTACCTGTCTATCTGTGGTGCAGTGTCATTCAGTGTAATGTAGTGTAGTGGAGTGTAGTTGTGTAGTTATGTAGTTGTAGGTGTAGTTGTAGTTGTAGTGGAGTGTAGTTGTGTAGTTGTGTAGTTGTGTAGTTGTGTAGTTGTGTAGTTGTAGTGTTGTGGAGTGTAGTGTAGTGTAATGTAGTGTAATGTAGTGAAGCGAAGCGAAGCGACATCTGAACCTCCAAAAGTGGTCTGAACCCCTAGTGTTTTTAACATTTTGACTTCCAAATGTACTTCGCGCCACAACGGCGTGCACTTTTATTGACATCTGAACTTCCAAAAGTGGTCCGAACCCCTAGTGTTTTTTGACATTTTGACTTGGAAATGTGCTTCGCGCCACAACGGAGTGCACTTTTTCGACATCTCAACTTCCAAAAGTGCTCCGACCATGGTGTGTTTTGTACATTTTGACTTCGAAACGTGCTTCGCGCCACAACGGAGTGCACTTTTTCGACATCTCAACTTCCAAAAGTGCTCCGACCATGGTGTGTTTTGCACATTTTGACTTCGAAACGTGCTTCGCGCCACAACGACGTGCACTTTTCCAACATCTCAACTGCCAAAAGTGGTCCGGAGCTGGTGTGTTTTGTACATTTTGACTTGGAAATGTGCTTCGCGCCACAACGGCGTGCACGTTTTCGACATCTCAACTGCCAAAAGTGGTCCGCACCTTGTGTGTTTTGTACATTTTGACTTGGAAATGTGCTTCGCGCCACAACGGCGTGCAATTCTTCATCTCTCATCTGGCCAGCTGGCTCCGCACCCGCCGCTATAGCGAGCCTACCTTTCAACCCTCCGGAGCCCCGCATCATTGGAAAAACACAGTGTTTCGCGACTTTCCTACCTTTTCACGCATCTGCATCTTCTTTCTTGCTCTTCTTTCTTCTAATCTTTCTCTTCTCTCTGCCTTTTCCCTGCTCTGCTTTTCATCTGTCCATATTGTCGGAAGTTTGACTTCTAAACTTCCTTCGATCAGGTGTTTAGATACTGCAATAAAGCGCTTCTCAGGTCTCAGGGCCCCAACGGTGCTGGTCGCCAAGGAACCATAGGTCGTTGCCAGGTCCTGCCCCGGCTGCGGCAAGAGACTGCTGAGCCACAGGATGTTGGCCTCGGCGCGGCCGTGCCGTGGGAACTCCCAGAAGCCATTGGAAACATATGTGAAAAAATAACAACAACAATAATCAGATTAATCAGTTGAATCACTTCGAACTGATGTTCTATGAAATTATCACATATCATGTCACGACAACTGTTGCCTGATTCAACATTGGAGAGGTAAGGGCTAGTTGGTGGCTTCAAACCGACGAAACTTGTTCGTCAATTAGGATCACAATCCTAGGAACCAACCAGCACGCCGATTGAAACGAGACAGCAACATGTTGGCTGATGATGTAATGGCACCAAATTGAACACAACACTTGCCTTGCGCCTTTCTATCGAACCATCAAAAAACACCCTTAGAACTTGTGCCGCAAATGGAGCAAGCAAGCGGCTCCCTGAGCAATCTGATGAGCAGCCTCACCTTTCAAACTGGTCTGCACGATTCGAGTTGGCCCAGTGTTCTCGGACAGAAGGAAGCCTTCCTCAGCCACTGGGCCAGCAACTACAACGACAATGGCATAGGCAAGGGCTATTTAGGGACCAAGACAAGAACAAAACTAATCAGCACAGTGTCCAACCAAGAAATTGGGCTGACAACATTTGTTCACATTTACACTGATACTTCAACAGCTTGAAACATATTATCAACTTGTTCGCCAACATTCTTCAAAAAAACAACGTTTCCTTCATTGTTTCTTGGTTCCCTTCTAAAACTGGGATGTTGGTAAGCCATGGTAAGCCCGTTCAATCCCTAAAAACCTGAATATGCATCAAGACGATAAAATCAAACTGTGCGAGTGCGATCTATCCAATCTGCTCATTCTTTTGCTGTTCTGTCTGCCCCAGAATTTGATTTAAAATTTACAGGAAAGCCTTTAGTTGAAACTCCAATATTACAGGCGCAAAAACTACGGTTTTCAGTTTTGACTTCTGCTGGAAGCCAATCCACTGACTCAGTCCAACCAATGTAGATTTAACCGGTAAGAATCTGGATATATTGGGATGTAGGCTTGAACCAGCAAAACTTGGGATTTGCCCCGCGTCAACAAATGGCCCAAGTGTCATGTTCCAGAACTGCCATGTACTTCTGGAAGCAACACCACTGGTACCTCGCTGGTTCCCGTCCTGGTGCAGCTCGTGGCTTCCGCAAACGACTCGCCAAGGCGCTGCGCTCGTCGAGGGCGGTTAACAGCTCCTGTTGGAAAGAAGTGGCGAGCAATGCGTCAAGTAACTCTTTACCTATAGGTTTTCTGTTTTTGTTGGTGGTTTTTGATGGATTTCTTCATTTTTATTTATGGATATGTCTTTTGTGGGTGGATTAATTGTTCCCCACCTGCCAGGTGAAGGTCTCTAGATTTTATCAAAGGTATCAGAGGTGCATCCCGCCTCCCGCTGCCTTCCGCCTTCCGCCTCTATTTCCACTGTGGGCGCTGCCGGACCTCAACCGCGAGGGCCAGATCTGAGTGGGCACTGCCGGACCCCAACCACAAGAGCCAGATCTCAGTGGGCACTGCCGGGCCCCAACTGCGAGAGCCAGATGGCACATAGAATGTCAAATAGAAATAAATAGAATGCTAGATAGAATGTCAGAATATATGTAAAACAAAATGTCAGATCAGATAGAATGCCTGAGGGAATGTCAGAAAACATGTCAAATAAAATCTCAGATTGAATGCCAGGAAGAATGTCAAAAGATATGTCAAAAAAAGTGTCAGATCAGATAGAATGCCTGAGAGAATGTCAGAAAATATGTCGAAAAAAAATCTCAGGTTGAATGGCAGATAGACTGTCAGAAGATAGGTCAAATAGGATGTCAGCCTGTGGGGTAAAAGAAAAACAGACTAGGTATCTAACAGCAAGCGGTGGGGATCACTCGAAGAAAGTATATTTTTTTTATTTGTGTCTTTCACCCTTCACTGAATTGGTTTTCCGGTGAAAATCAAGGCTGGAAACTCATGGTTTTACCCGCGCGGCCCACGCACATTATAGGGGTTTCAAGGCTGATTTACCCCTCCGAGTCAGGGGTTGCAAGGCTGATTTACCCTTCCAAGTCAGTTCGGGGAACTTGCTTGGACCTGGTTCCCCGAGACTTGTTAATTGACGTGCCGTCTTCTACAGCAAGTCATGTTCATTATGCCATGGCATTTCAGGGCGGGATCTGCTGGCATTGGCAGCATGTATTGGAGCTTAATGGGGCTCGCGACATGCAAAGTCCTCTCTGTTGCTCAGCAGGTGCACCTGTCGTCGGATGTATGCAGATGAAGCACTGAATGACGATGAAGCTTGCTGTTTTGATCATGAAACACTTAACTCCCAATTGCCAAAAGCATCATATGTTTCTTTAATCCAATGTTCATCCTTTCTTCAATCTTCATCCAATTTTCCACCTCAGCCACGGCAAATTCCTCACCCCCCCTTCCCATCAGATCCATCAAATCCATCAGATTCCGCTTATGTTCCGCGCCTTGTTCTGCAGCTCCTGGTCCATCACCAGCTCCTCCTCTGGGTCTCCGAAGAGATCCAAGTCATCATCGCTGTGGCCCTGATCCCGAAGACCTCGAAACCCCAGGCGCTCGTCCAAATCCTGTTGATGCCGCAGCTTCCTCAGCGGAACTGTGGCGTGAGTTTGAGGACTTCACACATATGACATATGTTTAAGTTGCGAAAGTCAACTTGGGCCCTGGTGATTTGATGTACCGTAAACACCAGTCTCACACATTCTAGAGATGGAAGCTCTAGTCAGGGCCGCCAAAGCTACCAGTACAGTAAGGTGGCGTTACAGCTGTTGCTACATGCAACCTTTTGTACAAGCATCTTGTACTCCTTGATTTCTTGCAGGCTACATCCACTTCCTAGGCGGGCGAGCTTGGACAACAGAAAGTGAGACAGGGAATACTGGAAGAATATGATCCCCTGCTTAATTCTTGGGCCCCAAGGAAAATGACAATACACAGAGCATTCCAAACTTGGAGTGTCTTAATTTTCTCATTCCACATCCAAATGTTGTTGGCTGAGTGATGCAGGCAGTGATTCCAAATGTGGAAGTCACGTAGACATAGCACCCATGCCAAGTTATTCATGAATCTTCCGTGGAAATATCGCCTGAGTGTATGCTTCACCCTATCCCACACATTTCAGACTTTGCGATTTCATTCCATTGCTCCTTCTTGCGTTCAAAGCTTCTTTCGAGCATCTGGCGGACACGGGCCAGAAACTGCCCCAGCCTTTCAAGCTCCCCTTCCTCCTGAACGGGCGGGCTTCAGGCTAAACAAATGCCTTTGCTCTTGCTGCCGTTATAAATCTACATGTAGGTATTTCACTTCCATTGCAATGAATTCATGATGCGACTTAGACATTACAGGCCTACATGAACAGCAAGTACTGTAATGGCAGGCCGCCAACAAGTCTACAAGAAAACAGGATGATCATGCACGTATCTTCGAGTGATCCTGACCGTGGCAAATATTTTGACATATACTCTGACATTTTATCTGAACCACCATTTAACATATTTTCTTACGGTCTATCTCACGTTTTATCTGACATATATTCTGACATTCTTTCTGGCACCTTATTTGACACATTTTCGGAAATAGTATCTGATACATATGTTCTGACATGCTACAGTAAGTGACCTAAACTCTCGAATTCCATCTGGCATTTTATCTAACATTCTATCTGACGTTCTATCTGGCATTTTGTTTGGGTCTGGTGGGGCCGAGAGAAGGTGGCGAACTCGCCATAGGTTTCGCATCTGGCCGGGAACAGAGTTGTCATCAAAGGCAGGAAGGCGGGATGTACTGCTAAAACCTAGAGATCCTTGTCACCTGGCAGGTGGGGGAAAACACTCAATTGGTAAGGTATGCTAGGGGTCATCAAGAATGAAGTAATTCATTACCATGATCTTTCCACCTTTATCTTTTTGGAGGTCAAGGTACTTGAAGTCCAACAAACCGAGGGAGCACTCCCTTGTCCAGGGCTTCCGCATGCCAAGCCAAGCCTGCAAATAATCAGTCTCCGATTTTTCATCATCGCACGACGCAAGGAAGGCCGCGAAACTCTTCTGGATCAGTGAAGCGACCTCATGCCTCATGGGGACAGATCAAAACCCATGACATACCATATTTGAGAGGATAAAAATCCATAAAAATCCCATAGCTATTTTTGGGTTCAACAGTTTACCAGGTTTTTGGCCCATGGCCACACATACAAATATTTCATTAGTATTATTTATCGATATTGAAAAATATTTAACATAGTACCTTGTACCCTAGTATTACATTGATATTATTGACGATTGTGCCCAAAACTGAAATGCGAGTTGTAAGGTCCTTATATGGTCCTTATGTTAAGGTCCTTATTAACCATTATTTAACCGTCATTTATCGGGAGGTCGCTGTGTGGCAACAATTTCCTCTATATAGTTGGAACGGTTTGAACTGGATCCGGGGATCCTGGCGACATAGCCATGGAAGATCACAGCGAATAATATGCGAATCATGCGAATCATGCGAATAGCTAATAGGTGGTTTATTCATCGGTAAATCATGGGTAAATCATCTCATGAAGCTTTTTACCATACGTTAAATTAACCGGTATACGTTATGATTGTTGTCCAGGAAGACTTCGGTGACTTAGAAAAAGCACTTGGCGCCCGTTGATGAGCCCCCAACCAGTTGCTTCGATTGCAGAAACTCGTGGTTTGAACCGATGGTAAATGGAAAGGCGTCACAGTATGTCTGTTGTGGTGAGGAGTTGCAAAGACAAACTCCGCACTGCAGGAGTATCTCGAATTAGCATCAAGCTTCATCATGAAGATGTGGTGCCATTCACCCAAATACGGAAAGAACTCAAGAACATGCATGGCACTTCTGGTCTCAGTCCTAGTTTGGACCAAATGATTAATGTGTTTTTTTTATGCATATAGAACCACATGTACATGTTTATGATTTTTATGTATATATATATAATAACTATATGTAATATAATATAATATATATATTCACGTTTGTTTACAGGTCCCCACTTGAAGGATGCTTTTCCACCCATGTCATTAAGAGTTTGCCGTCTGTAAAATGCATGTAGGGGCCATTGGTTTGTGTAAACTCATATTTCAAGCAGTTATATAACGCATATATATATACCTATATCTATATATATATATATATATCATTTACAATCCAGACTATTCAAAAAAATCACCTCCAGAAATCCAAACCAAGTTAAAGGGAAGTTGGGTCAGACTGCTGTTTGAAATTGAGTTTTTATGTTTTTTGACTTTAACTCTCCACAATATTTATCGAGCATGTGTGAAGATATTTGACACATATTTTGCGAAATAGGCAATCTCCCTGATTCATCTCCTGGCTATTCGAGAGGACACCCGCAGCTGATTCTGAGGTGCTCCTCTCTGCCCCCAGTGAAGAGGGCGCAAAGCCTCAGGATGACATGGCATCTGGATGCACCTGGCAACTTTTATAGAATCGCTCACTAGTGTTACCTTTTGGCTATTGAACATAGACATGGAAGCCATGTCCCCAGTTATAGATGATCTGATAAAAATGATGACAGAAGGATACATCAGGAAAGCACCCACCAGCTCAACACGAAATCAACGCCTAACACGCGGCCTAGTGGCATATCGTAGCTGGGCGAAAAGCTGGAGTTCAAGGGTAGTGGCCCCGAGATCAACGTTTCTGCTGTCCAGCTCACCTTCAATTCAGGCGGAAACCACCGAAATGAGAGGATCTTCATCAACCCTCCCTGACATCAACCCTCCCTGACTTGCTGTGATTGGTCAAGTCTCCAGAATGGCTCTCTATTTGTTCGGGTCTTTCAACTTCAGAATAACAACAAGCCTAGAATAGATAGAGCTTGTTCAGGCTTCTCTTCTGCATGTTTGATTGGGTCACGTTTGGCCATTTGCGGATTCATTCCGAGCAGGCTGCTGTGCTTGACTCTTGTCTCAGCAGAGTAGGCCCTATGCAGTTCACTTTTGCTCATCAACTTGCGCACAATCTGGTAGCACCGTGAGATAACAACTCGGCAGCGCAAATCCCCACGTTCATCCCCAATTCATTAAGAACGCTAGGAAACTCTATATACAAGAGCCAAGACTTGATTGAAACGCATATTCACAGAGGACTCTCAAAAGTCACAGTGAAAACATTGTTTCCTGAGTATGATCTCTTCAACCAACCCGATGACAGCAATAGGCTGGTGGAAAGGCCCATTTGAGATATTTGAGCAAACTGTCTGCGCCGCACAATGTGCTTATCAATTGAAGGTCAAAAGATCTGGTGTTTTGGTGTGAAACAGCAAGCAACAAAATATGTGAACACCAAATGCCGTCAATCAGCGCACATACATAGTATCAATGGTTACAACACCCATACTGTCCAATCATTTGCCCCACTCACGTGACATCCTAACTTCCATCTCATATACATGTGGATTTTCAATTTTTAATTTGCAAATAAAAAGAGAGAGGGAAAGACAGAACGAGAGAGGGAGAGCGAGAGAGAGAGAGATAGAGTGAATGGGAATAGACATACGAATACAAAAACACCATGGTTGCTAGCTCGGCAGGCTCGATATTCAACCTCAAACCTTCAATTTCGATCTTTACTTTCCATCCATTTGTTCACTCCATTTCAATTCGCAGCAACCAGCTCTCCAACCAACTCCCCAGTTTCTCCGGGTCGCTGGGCCGTTCACAATGGCATGTCCCTGCAAATCCAGCCCCCTGCGCCCAGCCCGGCCACACATCTGCAAAACCTCCGTGGAGTTCAACCAACGGAGCCCGAAAGCGTCCTGTTTGGGGCGGTTTTTGTATCAAGTTGCTGGTGGGAAGGAACATTGCAGCAAAATCTCGTGTTTAATGATATGCCACGTGGTTAAAACCAAAGATATTGTGGATTTTCCAACTTGGTGACTTGAAGGGGTCCCAATGCATGATGGTACTCCCAGTCTCATGTCCCAAACCGTCCAACTGAGCCAGCTGGAGAAAAAGGAAGTGATCCATGGATCTGGCGATGGGGACCTACACCACAGATGTTCCCTTCATACTGCCTGGTGAAAGAGTAAACTTGATGTAAACTGCCTTTTTTTTTGCTCGAGGTAATCCAGCGTATGGCGTCAAATGGCCCATTGTATGGTTACGGGCCACCAAAACAATTGAGATATTAGGGTCGGCATGTACCTGAAGGATGAAGCAGAAACATAGGGATCAGTAGGGTTTCTCGGCACATGTAGCGAACTTGATCCCAACAAAATTTATTGTTTGAAAACCACCAACCAATGATATTCATAACACTCACACACACAAATGCACAAATATGTTGCACTTAAATTAAAATATGGCACCTATACTATATACAGTACATATATATATATATATATTTATTATATTTATAGAAGTATCTATATAATCAATAATATAAAAATATAAATAATATAAATAATAAAAAATAATATATATATATATATATATATATATGGGCTAAAACCCCAACTTGACAAGCAAATGTGCACAGTTTCACACATATGAACTGTTACTCTTGTGCACTGTTGTGTTTAGTTCCATGCTTCAATCGCTGCCTTTTCTGCAGCAGTGTCCTTCTTCTCCAGCTGGCTGAGGATCACCGCACGCGCAGGCATATGGATCCCCGCCGCTAGGGTCTCCGTGGCGAAGATTAGCTTCAGCAGGCCACGTTCGAAGAGGCACTCAACGAGCGCCTTGGGAGCCACAAAGGTGGTGCCATGGAAACTACTGGAAAGGGATGGAAAGGGCCCCCGAAAGGTAGATAAGTTACTTTATAAGTTTATTATTATGAATTTATTAGATGATTTATGGCATTTTCCCTCGATGGTTTGGGGCGTAAGTCAACTTGCAGCTGAGGGAGCCCATCTAGCAACGAATTATATTCTAGTTGTCAATATCGGAGTAACATGGTATAATCCAAATATTTGTAAGTTATGACAATGGAGCAACACATGAAGATATATTGAGTAACCGTTGGGTGTGGAGAAGTCAAACTTCTGACAAAATGGACAGATGGAAAAGCAAAGGTGGGAAGAGTCAGAGAAGAGAAAGCAAGAAGAAAGAAGATCGGAGAAGAGAAAGCAAGAAGAAAGAAGATCAAAGAAGAGACAGTCAGAAGAAAGAAGATCCAGGTGCGCGAAAAGGTCGGAAAGTCGCGAAACACTGTGTTTTTCCATTGGTTCGTGGCTCTGGAGGGTCGAAAAGTAGGCTCGCTAAAGCCGGCGGGTGCGGAGCCATCTGATCGCATGAGGGATCAGAGGGTGCACGCCGCTGCGACAGGAAGCGCATTTTGGAAGACTTAAATGTTAGCTCCGGAGGGTCGAAAAGTAGGCTCGCTAAAGCCCGGCGGGTACGGAGCCATCTGATCGCATGAGAAATCAAAAATTGCACGCCGCTGCGAAAAGAAGCGCATTTTGGAAGACTTAAATGTTAAAAACACCTCAGGTTTGGAGCGCCTTGGGAAGTTGAGGTGCAGAAAAAGTGCACGCAGCTGTGGTGCGAAGCACATTTCCAAATCAAAATGTTAAAAACATCATAGATAGATATAGACATAGATATAGATATAGACATAGATATAGTTATAAAGATAGAATGATATAGATATAGACATAGATATAGATATAGAGAGAGATAGGGAGGGAGGGAGGGAGGGAGGGAGGGAGAGAGAGAGAGGAGAGAGAGAGAGAGAGACAGACAGACAGACAGACAGACAGCCAGACAGACAGACAGCCAGACAGACAGACAGAAAGACAGACAGACAGACCGACAGACAGAGCGACGGACAGACCGACGGACCTCCCTCCCTCCCTGTAGAAAGAAAGAAAGATAGATAGATCGATAGATAGATAGGTAGAAAGATAGATAGATAGATAGATAGATAGATAGATAGATAAAGATAAAGATAAAGATAGATATAGATATATACAGATAGAATCCCCGTTGCCATTTCCTGGGTGGGGTCGCAGTGGACCATTTTGTAGTGGTCTAGCCTTTTGCTCTACAAAATGGTTGTGGTAGACAGTCTCCATCCTACAAAATGGTATGTCCATAAACCAGGGCTCTACAAAATCGTAGTGCATGTCACCTGTTTTGATCCACAAATATTTTGACAATTTTGTCAAAAAATGATCAAACCAGTGCATTCATGATCTTAAAAAAAAGATAAAAAATCCAGAGCCATTTTGTAGAGCATCTATCTTGGGAAGAACTCAGCGTCAACTGCCTTTTTCCCAGGGCCATTTTGTAGGGTTTTCATCCTCTAGTCCATCTTCACTCATCCTTTTCGGAGGTGGAACCAATCTGTTTCGTGTGTGCGATGAGCACCAAGCACGGGAGGGCCAACATGGGGGAATATTGGGACGGCAGGGAAATTTAAATGTCCTAAAGCGTTTCCGAGCCAACCATTGCAAACACAAATGTGCACTTACAAAATGGTACATGTATTGAAACGATGGGTTCTCTACAGAATGGCTAGCTGATTTTTGTTTGTCAATGACTAATTCACATTTTTTTAAACCACCAAATCATACCCTTAAAAAACCTCTACAAAATGGCTTTTGGTTTGTTACAAAATGGTTTGTCTTGGTGCCCATCATGAAGGATCATGCCTTCAAAATAAAAATGATAAAACCAGCTAAAACCCACAAATTACTACAAAATGGCAAGCTCGACCCCATTTTAAGGAACCATTTTCCACAGAATGGTAGCGTTTATAGGGGCCCCAACCCCTCCCATTCTGTGGAGGAAATGGCGTGGAGGATCAGACAGATAGATATAGATAGATATAGATATAGGTAGATATAGGTAGATAGCTAGCTAGCTAGCTAGATAGATTAGGTAGGTAGGTAAGGTCATAGAAAAATCTTCTGACCCTGCTGGATGTGACCCACATAGAAAGCACTAAATTACTGGATTGGTTTTATGTGTTTTTATGTGTTTTTATGTGTTTTTATGCGTTTTTTTTTTTTAAATGTTTTTGTGTGTTTTTTTTTGTTTTTTTTTGGCTTTTTTTTAAATGTTTTCTTACTCTTACTGTCAGATAATGTCAGATACTCACTGTTAATTTCAATGCTTTTCAGAAAACTTCTGACATATTCAACACTTGAATCGTGTCGGCCTATCATCGAAAGATCTTTGGCTCAAACATGGAAATGGAGCCCGACCCTGCTGAGTCAGTGTCAGAAACTAGGTGGTGCCCTGAAATTGTCCTGCTAATGCGAGATGTGAAAATAAGATCGTTTGTAAAGAAGGAGGGGTGTTTGCGAAGACATCTTCGGGAATCGAACTGGCCTCGGATTTGAGTTGCAAGGACAACCACTTGGGCGATGTATTCACCTAGATTTTTCCTGGTGCATCTTTTTGGGGGGTACGGTCACCCAAATGGTTTTCAACATAAGCATGAAGAAGCACAAAAAAACATAAAAAAACAGAACAAACGTAAACAAACACAAAGGTTGAGAGGGGTCAGACCCCAGAATTAGGTGGGGAACTGGGTATCTGACCCCCATACCATGTACACCCCTGACATGCGTGTCCTGGAAATACCTAGAGATGACAAAAAATGGGACTTACTACCCAATATCCTGGCTGAGGATCGGCAATATACAAAGCGCATCGGCTCTGCCTTTTCTAAGGAAAAAAACAGTCAGCCCATTGCTGCTAAAAACCTACCAGCCAAACCTCACAAGTCAGGAGCTTCAAAGAAAGAGGAAAAAAAGTGCCAAGGTCCCTAAGGTGAAAAAAAAAGGCAAGAAAAAATCATGGTAGATTGTAGATGTCCCAGACATTCGCCCGACGCCCAAAAAATGACGGCCTTCAAGCTTGATTGCTTGTGTCTTTGGAGATTGACCCGCACTTGGCACATAACTTTGAGATGGCTTAAACCACCAAAGCCTGCACACCCCATGGGGGTCAGATTCATGGGGTTCGGAAGATTCCCCTATGATAAGGTAAGGTAAGGTAAAGTAAGGTAAGGTAGGGTAGGGTAGGGTAGGTAGGTAGTGGGTAGGTAGATATATAGATTTAAGTAGGTAGATGGATAGATAGAAGCATACGGCAAGAGAGAGAGAGAGAGAGTCAACCACCTTTCGGCTCTGCCATCCATGCGTCACAACAACCAAATATGGGTAGCGTGACAGGTTGGTAGGCTGATCCCATAAGCTGCGTTCATCTGACAACAAAACCAGGCTGGTGTTGACGCTCATCCCATGGCCGAAGCTCGATTCCTAGCAAAAATCATGAACTCCTTAGCAGGATTCTTCAAAAATGATGAAACATGTATGTGTCCCTGGCGTCCCCGTTGTGGAAACAATCAGAAGCATTCAGCTACCTTCCAGGTGGCTCGCTGCGCAGGCATCTGTCCAGCATGATGGGCGGCAAGTCCTGAAGCAGTGCGAATTGGTACCCCAGGAATGCTCACCGAACCTTCTGATCATCAAAGAACCAAAAATGGACAACTGAAAACCCAAGGAATTCCAAAGGAAACCACAGCTGCAAATGATTGTAAATGGGCAGTGTTCCATTTTCAGATTAGATTGCCAATCGTTTAGGTGGGATAACGCTAGGAACACCCCCGCCCTCCTGCCAACATCACAGCTTTGGTGATGTTTGAAAGGCAGAGATCCGGGAACTGCTTCTCAAACGCATCGATGGCCTCAAGTCGATCTCATCGGAGTGATGGCACAAGGCCTTGATTGGGAAGTTTTCAGGTTCATCTTCGGTGCTCTTCGAGCCACGAATGGGAGGCGCAATAAATTATATCAGTCTGCAACAACACGAGCCGCGACAAAATTGAGCGAGACAAACTCCAGAAATGATAATTGAAAATCTAAGTGTTTTTGCTATTTTTTGCTGTTAGCCAGAATTAGATGAATGGACAATTGGCAAAAACACCCTATGACACGGTTTCCTGCAAACTTTCCCTTAAACCGATCCAATGCACAGTCCCACTGCCAATAAACCCCTACAAAGCAGGCACCAAAAATCCACAGACCCAAAGCATTCCCAATCTAACAATTGTTTTTAAGTAGCACCCCTCCCCCCCGTCTTGCACCATTGGGCTGGGTAAAACTTCATGGGATGGGGTGGGCCCCGGGGGCGGCACTAAGGGCTTGTTCTGGACGAGCACCCCCCATCCCCTCGCCCACGCCAGTGCAAAAGTGATAGTGCCGCGTTTGCTGCAGCGGAGCATTTGATTGCTCTCGGCGTTCGGCACGCTGTTTAGTCGTTGCTGTTGGTGTTGCGTTTTTGCGGACGCTTTCGCGCTTTTGTCCGCCGCAGCTGGTGTTTGTCGCTAATTATGGTTGGCGGTTGTGGTTGGTGTTTGTCTTTTGGCGCTTTGGGGCTTCTGCCTGGTTCGGGGCCTGTTGTGTTTCTCTTCCTCTTGGTGGCTGTGGTTGGCCATGGTCCTTTGATGCTGGTCGCTGCTGTTGGCGTTTGTCTCTTGGTGGGTGTTTTTCTTCTGGTGGTTGTGGCTGCTTTTGTTGTTTGGCGCTCTGGGGCTTCTGCTCGCCCTGGGCAGCTGGTGTTTGTTGTTTGGTGCTCTGGGGCTTCTAGGTTGTCCCCTTTGCGTTGTTGGCGTTTGTGTTTTGGCGGTGTTTGTCTTCTTCCCTTGGGTAGCTGCGGTTTGTGGTTGGTGTTTGTCTTTGGGCACTTTGGGGCTTCTGCCCGCTCTGGGGTGTTTCTCTTCCCTTTGGTGGTTGTGGTTGGTGTTGTCTCTTGGTGCGCTGGAGCTTTAGCCTGCTTTGCCGTGTTTCTCTCTCTTCCCTTTTTGGTTGCTGTGGTTGGCACTTCCTTCGGTGCTCCTTCTCCGGCTGAAAATCAGGTTGACCTGTGCTGGGGGATCCAGCTTGCTGATTGCGATGGCATACATATATTATGCATATGTATATATATATATATATACTGTATGTATATATATATATACATATACACCCTATACCTCCAAACCCTGGAAATTTCTCGGGTTTGTGAATAAACCTTGGTTTTGACGGGCAATGGAAGGTAAAACCCGGTTTTACCCCGGAAAACACGGTTTTTGGGCAAAACCCTAGATTTACCCAATTTTTTGCGGATGTGAAGAGGAATTTGACATTAAGGCTCTGCTCATTTGATTTGACAAGCATGGGTGCGGTTTGAAGCAATCTCTTTTCGTGTTTTTTTTGGTAGACTCCACCGGAAATGATACTGTAACATGAAAACTCGGGTGGGGATTGCTTCCAACCTCAAACCCATGATTTACCCGTGTTATAACCGTGATTTACCCGTGATATAACCGTGATTTGCAACCAAAACCCTGGTTTGGAGCAGTTTCTGTACAAAACCGGGAGTTTCCACAACCTGTGATTTACCCGTGATATAGCCATGATCTACCCGTGACAACCCATGTTTTGAAACACGGGTTCGAGCCCCCAAACTGTGCTGATATTTTTCACACTTCTTTATGACATTTGATTTAAAAAAAGGCATGGATGCGCGGAGAAGTCGGACCATTAAGATCGGGCAGTCCCGTCGAAAGAGCCGGACATATCGGCCCACTACTTCAACATACCTCGTGGATCTTCTAGAACAACAGCCAGCTACAATCTGCAGTGAAAAGGGCAAAACCCGGGTTTTACCTGGTAAAACCCGTGTTCACCCCTCACGCCTGGAAATATATATATATTGATGATTTGTATCCAGTTTTTTCTTTTTTTCTTTCTAGTTTGGACCAGCTGAAGCTGGCAGGGAAGACCTTCAATTCAATGACGCTTGGTTTGTTTTACCGGGGCTTGTCTGTCAGATCTGCCGGTGGAGGTGCGCTCCCGGGCTGCAGCTACTGCTGTGAGCCGCCACAACCAACAACCAATAGCACCTGTAGGTTAAACATGGCATGCAGTGATATAATGTGACATACATATCATCCACCGTCCCTTGACTCCAAGCTGCGCCCTGGATCTCAGCTGCCTCCTTCGATGACACCAGGCGCTCAGGCAATCGAAAGGATGGCGCTCTCACGCGCCGTGGGGAGCCGCCGAAAGCACCCAAGGAGAGCATCATGAACGCCAACTTCACCTGAGCCATGAAAAATAACCCTATCCCACCTGATCTTTACTGGTTGGTTGATATTGGTTGATAGGTTTCCCTATGGATTTAGAATAATTCATGGATTAGAACGATTCTATAGAATATATAATTCCCAATAAGCTACGTAGTATAGCCCTTTAGAATAATCAACAAGTTCATGTTTTTAGCGGCTCGCCTGTGCTTAGCTCCCTGAGATGGATGTGTCTGAAAATGGGGATGCACATCAAATAGTGCTTTTCAAAGGGAAAAGGATATAGAGGGGAGGTCCCTTCCTCCGATTGGGAACACTTAACATACTTAACATGACTGGGTATATTTCATGGGCTTTGAGCAACAAAATGCTAACCAGTTGTAGAACCGAGTCCATGGCCTATCTACGATGGGTATGGAGAAACAACGACGCGGAATCAAATGGACTCACAAATCAATGTGGCTTTGTCATTTTGAATGTTAACGGTGAACCGCATTATTTTATTTAGCTTAAAACATGTCATTTGAGTTGCAGCTGGCCAATCAAAAACAAGATGGCAGCTGTCCACAACACCTATAGCAGAATGACCAAAAGTTAAGTCTACAAAACCATTTGAATGAGTTGGAGGCCATACCCCCTCAAGCCCTCATCATTATTAGGAGATTTGGAGGTTTCGTAAAAGGTGGGTACTCCCACATCATTCATTTTAATCTATTTTAATATGATTTTCCATTAACCATCCATTTTGGGGTACCTCCGTTTATGGAAACTCCCATGTGGCAAGGTTCACCTGCTCTTCGCAGTGCTGCCTCCGGAGGGCGAAGCTCAGCGAGGGCAGCCAAGCCATGCGCTGCAGCCGCCGAATGGTCTTGGAGAGTGCGAAGACTCGGTCCATACCTGGGGAGCCCCTGGATCAATGGAGTGGTTTAAGGGAACAAATGCTAGAAACATCTAGAAACCATGAGTTTTTACAGGGAAAACATGGGTTTTTACAAGAGAAACCATAGGTTTTACCGTTTTAATGAGGCCAATCTTTGGTGGAGAATCTTTGGTGGTTGAGAACCCAACTATCAACAATTGGGATTTGACCATCCCAAATGAGAGTTTACTCACCAAATGTGATGATTAATGGATGGGTTTAGAAACCACTCGGCATATGATATTTGGTCGATAATCCTGGATACCGAAAATAGCTGGTTAGTACATATCCCAATTTATGGCTGGGAAGTTCAACGGATTGGTTTCAGGCATCATGAAGCTAAGCAAACTGTATTTTACAAGGTCAGCCACCAATGTTACTTACAATGGGGGTGAACCACAAATCCGCTAAGCACTCAGCTCTTTTGAACCAACGCTACAGAGTAGTACGATGATATGTACACTACATGGTTTTACTGCAGGAGTTTTTACACCCCCCTCGGGCGAGCAGGGACGACTGCGGAGAACGAATAACCCAGAAAAGCATACCCTCGCGGGTAGCCAAATTTCTTTAGTTGGTTTTGAACATTTTGTGCAGTCTTTCAAAGGTCTCTATAAAAAGCTCAAGCCCGTAAAACCCAGCGCAGCTTTGCAAGGAAGGCACATTACCATGCCGCATCTTGCGCTATGCTACAAAAGAAAATCATCGTCTACCTGCGGTTCCAATAGATCCACCGGCCGCCGGCCTCGTCACGGTAATACCAAGCCCCACGCCAGAAACTTCATTCTCGGCGTGCACCATAGTGATCACGATTCCAACTCCAAGAGGCATCCGGGCGACCGGAGCTTGCAGCCTTCGATGTGACTGTGCTTGCTGCTTTTGCAGTGGGCGGTGTCTCAGGCTCCAAGAATGGTCGTGCTCCTGCTTTGGATGTTGGTGGTTCGGGTACAAGAAATGGTGCATTGTTGGGATCAACTGGGGCATCAGCGTGCGAGGCGTCTGCGCGAGCAGAGCTTGAGGCGGCTGTGTCGGCATGTGTGGTGGCGGATGCATCAGCTTCGGCTTTGCGCTTTCGCTCAGCAGTGGGCGCGACCGTGGGGTCGGCCTTGTGACCTCCAGGACCTCCAGCCTTTGCAGCGGCGCTCTGCTTCTCTTTGCGTTCAAGGTTGCCCCGAACCAATGGAAGGTTTTCCTCATACACCTTTTCGAGGAATTCAAGAGTGCCATCAAAAGGAACTTGGACAGTGCCCTTCCAGGTCAACAGGCCACGGTATGCGCCACGACGGCCGATGTAGCTGACGTATTCATCCTCTGTAAAAACGTGGCGGCCGAACATGAAACCCCAGACCTTTTTCCATGTTTTGCGGAACTCAACTGGGAACCCATCCACGCCTCGCGGCTGTGACATGAAAATCAGCTTAGATAAGCAGCTTTCATTTTGGGCATTGGCGGCGACGCCAGCCGAGACCTGAGCTCTAGTCCTTGGGGGATCGGGGAGGTTGCCGTATGCAAACATATCATCAAAGATACAATCCTGCAGGCCCTTCCCCTCACCGTGGATGCGGTCGCAAAAGGTGACATCGCTGGCGAATCTGTCTTCCACATCCTCATATCCCAGCGCTTTTGCACGTCGATGCCTATCGCGGCAGTCTTTGAGGACTGCTGATTCCACGGATGTGATTCCCCTGGGGCCCAGTTCCCGGCGAAGAAGATCGGCTTGCTCATTTGTCAAAGCCGTCAACAAGGTGCCGCTCATCTTCCCATACATTCCGAACCCGGCGAGACTCTGCATTCGCCGTTCAAGGATGCGGGTCCTTCTGTTGGATCTGTCGGCCTCTTTTGTTTCGCCACTTTCGTCCACTGGGAGTGGCTCATATCCACATGTGGTGCATGTCACTTGGCCACTGACGTACTCAACCTGGCAGAGGGGGCATGAGCCCATGAAAGGTTCGCAGTACTTTGGTGCAATGTAAACACGGCGCGTCCTCGCGGACGGCTGGTCAACTTGCATTGGGGCAGTGGCTGCATCATCAGTGGACGTGGCATCGGGTCGCCCCGTGCTGGTGTCATCCATTGGGTCGTCATTTGCATCATCTCGGGCAGTCAGGGTGACCGCTGTGGATCTTGGTGCTGAGGCTGATTCCGCGCCTGTCCATGAACTGGGCTCGAGATTGCTCTCGGCGCGGGACCAAAGCACCTGTCCATCTTCTGAGATGCTGACCAGAAACTGCGGTGGGATGCGTTCTGAACACAAAATACCATCCATTTCTGTGCGACTAAAGATGACACCAGCTTCAACTGCTTGCCGCATTGCGACTTTGACTTCAACTGGACATTTTGCTCTTAATCCAGATCGATATCCCTGTGTGCCGATACAGTGTTCTGCCATGTAGATATGAGCACGGCCACTGTTGACTGTGTCACCGCCGCCTGGGATCAGGCCGTTCTGTGCGATGCTCTTCCAACTGCTTCTCATCGTGCGATGAAAAATAATTTCAGGGACCTCAGTCATGGCACACAAGGGCACGCCAGTGAAGGCGGCTTTTCGCTCGGGGGATACTTGGTTTGAGCAATACACCATGGTTGAATTGGCATAAAGGCCCCCGGCGGTTTTCAAGGCAGCTTCGGAGTGACCCTGAATTGCACGGATTTTCACAGGGTAATACGGCATGCCTAGGCCATTGTCGACAGGAAAATGGGAGATCTTTGCACACAAGAATTGGAACCTACTCTTGCCATGCTTGTCGATCTTCATTGCAGTGCCAAACAGGTTTGCGACGGTGATGAACACATCTGGGGGCACTTCCTTGCGGAAGGCTTTGGCAAAATCCTCCAAGTCAATCCAAAGGTCTTTGTCCATTGGCACCTTGGAACAGGATCCATGCCCCCTGCAAACTTTGTTGACACGAGTTGCAAAATCGGAGAATTTCTTGTCGACACGAGTCTGGCCTGCAATGGTCTCAACGTCGGATGCCGATATCAGCTCCAGCTCATAAGCCGTACCTTCAAAGAGGATCCCGGGCACATCATCCCCGTCTGCATTGGTCACCATTGTATATTGGTATTCAGGCAAATGCTCTTCCATCCAATATGCTTTCACGTGGCCGGATGCATGTTCCTCTAAGCGCGCGGTTGCCCGCGGCTGGTACTGGCTGGATGTGGCTCTCTTGTCATCTGCGGGCTCATCCACTGGTGCTGGTGCTGCTTTCGGTCGCGACTTCAACATGACCTCAGCCGTTTGGACCAGGATTGTTGCTCTGCTGGATGCAGCGGGCTCGCCGTCGCCGGCGGCCTTTGGAGGGTCATCTTTGGGAGGCTCAGCAAACGTGCCAGAAGGCATCGTCTTGGTGTCGATGTAGTCCTCGGTGTCTGGTTGTTGAGCTTCGACGTCCTCCTTGGTGAATGACCTGCCCGTCGGCGTGATGTGTCTTCGGGACTCTCCAAAAAGCAACTTGGTGATGTTTGCACATGTCTCCTGATAGGATCTTGGCAGCTCGTCCAGGACGGCGCTCATGTTCCTCCGCAAATCATCCCATGTTTCCTGGCCACACTCAGTAAGCTGCAAACCAATCCGACCAACCCGCCAGCCGCAATCAATTGCGAAAAGGGTAGCTGTCCAATAGGCAGCAAGACGCGTGCGATTTTCTTCAGAGTTGGCGAAATGCCACTGGTCTCTGAATTCCATTGCATCGGCGTACCCCTTTGCTTTCAGCCACGGATACTTCGGATTGGCGAGCCCTTGCAGGCTGCTGGTAAGAGCTTTAAATCGAGGCTCCAATACATCAAAGAACTGGTCAAAGATAGGATGGATGCCATAATCAGCGGACCAAGGCGCGGTCGTGAGACCGGCCGACTGCAAATCCAACTCACGGGCCTTGTTGATGTACCAAGTCAAGTGGCGCTCACAATCATCCAGGATCGTGGGCCAGTGCCCGTTGGGGCCGTCGTACGGCCAATTTGGATTTTGGGCGATCCCATCCTCTCCTACCAATTCATTTCCGAACCAGGACAAATGCAGGTTGATGCGTGCATCAGGGTAGCGCTCGCGGGCGTCCGCGGCCAATTCAATCCCACGCTTGACCAGCTTCTGCAGAGTTTTGCCCCAAAGCATCTCATGGATGAACTCAGTCACATACTTAGGTTTGCGCTGCCGGAAATGCTCGGACAGGTCAAACTTCTTAAGTGTTTTCCTACGCCCTGTGATCAATGCACATGACGAGTCAGAGACTAAGATCCAGATTACTTCATTGACAGGCATCTCTGGCAACATGATCTTTTCAATGTGGGACTCCTTTGGCAAAAAGCAGAAGCTAAGGTATTCTGCAAGCGGATCCTCTCGACCATAGAACCTCAGGGCCGAAGCCGGTGTCCATTCGGTCATCAGTCCATCCACAAGGTCCTGAGAAGCCTGAGTCTCACCTTCATTGCGCATGGCCAAAGCAAACAAAATGCGATTGTGAAGGAGCAACCATGCTTCTTTGTTAGCCTCACGTGTGGCTTCGAGCGCAGCCTCGCGGCTGGCCGGGTGTGCTGTGGCATATCGCGAGTCAGCCATTTTAGCAGGACAGGCACGAATGACAGCGGGTGAAATCCTTTTGGATGTTTGGCCCACCACAGCTACCCGGAAACACTCATGGAGCATGTCGGTCAACTTGAAGGTATAGTTCTCAGCAAGTTTAAGAGCTTTGCCCCTACTTTGATCATGCTCATGTTTGCCATCACATTTAAATGAGTCTAACACTGCGAGTTCTTTGAAGTTTCCTGCAATAGTCCAACTTTTCTTCATTGGTTGACCGTTGTTTCCAAGAACACCCAACATACAACCATCAAAATGATGAGTAGTCATGGAACGTTCTATAAGGAATTTTCTAACCATCGGCCATCTCCAATATTTGCAATTCTTGGACAGTTCGAATGCTATCAAGGTTCGTTCATCATGAACTTCATCCACAAGTTTGACAAAAGATTTGAACAAC